TGCTTGAGAAACAGTGATAAGGATTTGTGATTATCTTGAAGGACCAATAAAAGCAGGAGCAAAGAAGAGCAAAGGGTCTTACTCTCTGAGAGTTGACCCCTTTGCCTTCTCCTCTCTTTCAGGAGTAATCTTTTATGCATCCATACAGGGATTGCTGGCCATTCCTGGCAACTTTCCTGTATATATGGCTCCCCACTTAATGAGAATCTATTACTGACTCAATAAAGTAATACAGCCAAAGGAAAGCAGTTCATTTTTATGCTAGTGGACAAGAAAGGATCAGGAAAGGTAAAAGAAGAATGTGTTCTGGATTAGGATTTCTGAAATAACTCATGTTCTGAAAATTCTTCACAGTGAGTGAGAATGTACGTACACTAAGCATGTTAAACACTAGAACAATGATTTATTTATTTTTAATTTACTAAATGAGGAATATGAATAAGTAGAGAGAGCACTTGTGTATACAGAGAGAGTGATCTATAGAAGAGTGGAGTAAGAACTACAAATCTGTGTTTTGGAATAAAGACCGAGTTAAGCAAAATTGTAAGATATGATTCCCTAATATTTTCCATTACAAAATCCCAGAGCAAAGAAAAATAAATTCTTCTTTTCTGGCACTTTGAGCCTGTAATTTGAATTGGCTGACTACAGATGCAAAGTTTTTTAGAACTGTTAGTTTGACTGCAAAAGTCACACAAATTTTGTATTCTCTTCCACAGATTCTGCCAATATAAACAAGCTCTGGTCAATTACCTGCAGCCTAGTTAAATGCATATTACTGGCTGGAGTTTTTGTCCATTTGCTTTCATAATTTTAAGAAGCATTTACACAGAGCTACATGCTTTTGTGATTATCTGTGCCTGCATTTTGAGAAGTACAAATGAGGTCAGTTGCATTAGACTTTAAACAGCGGGATCCCTGGAAGATTTCTTCGTTTTAGGCTCTCTGTTTCCTACAGGTGGGACCTTGACAAAATGAGGCCTGCCTTGGATCTCTCTTCCTGCATCTCTGAGAGTCAGATACTAGACTAACCAGGGTAAACTCTCACTCCTAGTAGTCCTGCACTTAATTCTTTGCAGTCACCCACCTCCAACCTTCTAAAGGTTTTTTGTTTTTTTTTGTTTGTTTGTTTTTTGTTTTTTTTCCCCTAAGGATGCCTGGGTGGCTTGGTCTGTTAGGCATCTGCCTATGGCTCAGGTCATGATCCTGGGGTCCTGGGATAGAACTCTGCATTGGGCTCCCTGCTCAGCTGGGAGTTTGCTTCTCCCTCTCCTTCTGCTCCTCCCCTAGCTTGCGCTCTTTCTCAAATAAATATATAAAATCTTAATTTTTTTTTCTATTTTGGTGTCATTTTACTAGGTGAGTGTCCCACTAGATATCCAGCCTCAGTAAATAAGTAAAATATGGTTTGTGACCATATTTTTATCTCCCCTAAGATTTTGAATAATGCCCTCTGATACTGTAAACTCAATAACTCTAATAAAAGTTTCAAAATATTTTCCTCTCCATTTTTCCATTTTCTTTTCCATTTTTGCCTATCTTTTCTCAAAAGGTGGTAGTTATGCTAAAAATACACTCTGAGAAGAATGGGAATATCAGCCTTCTTTTGACTTCAGTGATTTTCTGCACTGTTTCCATCTGCAATTCTTTCCACTTGAATACACATTAAAAGATTGGAAGTGTGGGGGTGGGGGAGGAGGTGGATGGAAATTATTCTCTGAGCACATTTATTATGCCAACAATGCAATTTAATGCATCTTTGATGGTGTGCAATTAGGTATTAAAATTTCTCATAGCTAGAAATGTTCTCGGTCAGTGGGAATTACTGTAGATAATTTCAGGTAACCTGGGAATAATTTGGCTAGCTAGAAGGCCTAGACCAATATATAAAGCATTCAGTTTAGGGAAAAATTGATTTGTTCTTCACATTAATCCTCTGCTTAAGTATATTGGGAAATGCAAATTCATATAAACCCTGAGAAGGAAACCAGTAATTCTTTTATATTTTAAAATAAATTTATAAAGACACAATATGGCAACTAAAAACTGATCCCCCAAACCATACTTTACTGATTTTTTGGAAAAGGGTTAATTATTTTTGCACAAAATTAAGAGTTTTATTGTACATTACTGGTTTGATTTAGAGTCCTACCTCTATTTTCATTATCGCCCTTTTTAAAACAGATTTATTTATTTATTAGAGAGAGAGCAGGAGGGGAGGAGCAGAGGGAGAGGGAGAGAGAGAATCTCAAGTAGACTCCCTGCTGAGTACAGAGCCCAACACGTGGGCTAGATCCCAGGACCCCAAGATCATGACCTGAACTGAAATCCAGAGTCAGAACTTCAACCAGCTGAGGCACCCAGGAGCCCTGCCCTTGTTTTATTTTCTCTGATTTTCTTTCTCTCACACAAGTTCTTCCAAAGGGAGACTGAGGTGAAGGCAGGGGTAAACATATTAATATACTTGGATAGCTTTATCAAATGTGTAAGGCAATTTCACAAACTCCTACTTCTGAACACATCGTTTGTTATTGGCATGCTTTTGGCATTGAATATGGTAACAAGAAAACCGTAACAGACTAGAAAAAAAGTACAGTAAGCAATGTTAGGAGTAGATAGGGGTGGGATTTCAGGAAACTATATATGATATCATTCTTGCTTCCTTTTGCACCATAATGTTTAGCTATGGGTTAGTAAAAACTGATAAGCTACAAGCAGTTCATAAAGTGACATGAAATTGAGCAGCCAACCATAACCTTTGGATTACAGATGCATTTATTGTAGGCTTTTTTTATGCAAGATGTAGCAACAATGGTACTGAATATGGCTGAAGTGAAAATGAAGTGGTACATATGTGGACAGTTCTGACAATGCCGATCACCAGAAAAAATGTTTGCTTACCACCTACATGATCAAAGGTAAAAATATGGATAATATCTTAAAACACTTTATTTTAAATGGAGATAATACGGACAACTCAATGAAAATGTGAATTTTTAGAAAGTGGGTACTTACTCTTCTAACTTTAAAAAATTACTTCAATTTAAGTTTAAATATTTAAGATTATGATACACAAATGTATTTTTGTAAAATTATTATGGCAAAATTTACAGTTACGTATCTCACTGTGATACACATGAAACATAATTAAAAAAAAAACAAAAAAAACAAAAGAAAACCATACTGCATATGGGGCTTGCTGATACTCACTTAGCGTGGCGAATATCTGGCAGGGACCGCTCTAAAGCAATATTGTTGCTGACAAAAATATTGAAACCGTTTTCCCTGTAAGCTGAGTCATCATGGTCCTCTTCAGTGAGGGGGTAAGGTTTCCCATGCTCACCTTTCCCTAGTAAGAGAAAACAAAATGGGATTATCCTCTCTACAAAAACCATTTAATCTTCTAGAACAGACAATAAGAATGAAACATGTGTACTTCTTTAGTCACCTGTTACTATGCTCTATAGAAGGCCTTTTTTATAACATACTATTTTATTTAGGAAAAAGAGATATGCTCATGATAAAAAGCAAACAACACAGAAGTAGAAAGTATAATCATCTTCTGGACAGAACCACTGTGAAGATTTGAAGTGTAAGTTGTGTAACATTTGTATGCAGTTTGTGATATATACATTGCCTTATAATTTGATTTTATCCAAGTTAATTATATAAAAAAAGCCATATTTTCATTTACTTCCAATGGTTGATATTAGTTCATTGTATCCCAATTTACACCATTCCACAAAAGATATACTTTCACATTATTTCTAATTCTTCCTATTAAAAACAATGTTGAAATGAACATCTTTGTTTATATATTACTAGTAATGTATTTTTGGAAGGGGAGGGATAATTCCTACAAATAGAATCTTGAATATCTGTAGAGTAGCTTATGATAGTTTTCACACATCTTCAGAAGCACTGGATAATATTTTGACATTTACTTGTGAAATATATATTTTTCATACTTTAGCTTACTTTCTCTCGATTACTTAAAAATTAATAACTTCATATACGGAGGTTTTTTAAAAATTTTCTTTTATTTATTTATTTTTAAAGATTTTATTTATTTATTTGAGAGAAAGAGTGATCTAGAAAGAGAGAGAGAGGAGAGCATGAATAGGGGCAGAGGGAGAGGAAGAAGCACACCCCCTGCTGAGCAGGGAGCCTGACGTGGGGCTCAATTCCAGGACCCTGGAATCATGACCTAAACCGAAGGCAGGCACTTAACTGACTGTAAAACAATTTTTATATTGTGTTTATTAAAGCTTTGTTGATTACGTATATTCTAAACATTTTCTAAGTTTACTTTACTTAAATCTGATTTAAGACTTCTGGTTTCCAGTTCTGAATGCAAGTAGTTTGGAAGTTACCACTCTATCCTAACAACAAGTACCAAGATGAACAGACTAAAAAAATCAACAACTCTTCTTATCCCACAGGAAGAAAGGACATAGGGCAAACTGATGTCCCCAAAACAGAGACAAACAGGTGAATACAGGGAATTGAGGCTTACCAGGGCAGGCATTCAGAAATGCAAACCTCTTAGAAATCAGTGCCTAGATAGGAAATCTTAAAAGTAATTGACAAATTGCTGGAGCCTTAGTGAAGTCTGATAGTTAAAAAAGCTCCAAGGGCACCTGGGTGGCTCAGTGGGTTAAGGCCTCTGCCTTCAGCTCGGGTTGTGATCCTGCGGTCCTGGGATTGAGCCCCACATCGGGCTCTCTGCTCAGCGGGGAGCCTCCTTCCCCTTCTCTCTCTCTGCCTGCCTCTCTGTCTACTTGTAATCTCTGTCTGTCAAATAAATAAATAAAAAATCTTAAAAAAAAAAATGCTCCAGGGCTGGGGTATTACCAGAGCCCAACTAACCTGGGGGATGGGAAATACCCAACTCCAGCCTACTCTAACCATCTTGTCCAACCAAAGAGGAGTCACACTCCAGAGGCAGAAACTCAATTAAGACCGAGACCTAGGGGCGCCTGGGTGGCTCAGTGGATCATGCTGCCTTCGGCTCAGGTCATGACCTCAGGGTCCTGGGATCGAGCCCTGCATCTGCCTCAGCATCCCTGCTGAGCAGAGAGCCTGCTTCCCTCTCTCTCTGCCTGACTCTCTGCCTACTTGTGATCTCTCTCTCTGTCAAATAGATAAATAAAATCTTAAAAAAAAAAAAAAAGACCGAGACCTAATCATAAGACTATTGAACACCTCCTCTCCCTGCCATACCTCATCATCACATTATAAACGGCCTATTTACTATAATTCCTTTACCCAAAACATTATATCCATCTACCCAGCAAAAAAAATTATAAGACATAGCAAAAGGCAAAAAAACACAATTTGAAGAGAGAACGAACATCAGAACCAGCCATGGCAGAGATGTTAGAGTTAATCAGACAGGGAATTTAAGGCAAATATGATTCATATGCTAAGGATTCATATGCTAAGGTTGATAGTGTACAACAGCAGATGGACAATGTAAACAGAGAGATGGAAATTCTATGAAAAAATAAAAAAGAAGCCCTAGTGATAAAAAACATAACAGAAATGAAGAACGTCTTTGATGGGCTTATTAGTAGACTGGGCACACTTGAGAAAATAATCTCTGAGCTTGAGGATATGTTAATATCATCCTCTAAAACAAAAAGGCAAACAGAAGAATGACTGAAAAAACTGAACAGAATATCCAAGGATTGTAGAACAACTTTAAGAGGTATAACAGATACATAATGGAAATAACAGAAGGGGAAGAAAAAGAGAAAGGAATAGAAGATATATAGGAAACAACAATGACTGAGACTTTCCCCAAATTAATGTCAGAGAGAAACCCCACAGATCCAAGAAGATTAGAGAACACCAGTACAGGACAAATGCCAAAACAAAACAAAACAAAACAAAATTACAAACTACCCCTAGGCATATCATTTTCAAATTATAAAAAAAGCTAAAGACAAAATCTTAAAAGAAACCAGTGGAAAAAAAAAAAACACCATATACTATACAGTAACAAAAACAAGAACTACACCTAACTTTACTTCTGAAACCATGTAAGCAAGAAGAGAGTGAAATGAAATATTTAGAATTGAAAGAAAAAAAAGATCAACTTAGAATTCTTCATGCTGTGGGATTGTCCTTCAAAAGTAAAGGAGAAATAAAGACTTTCTCAAACAAAAATTGAAGAATTTGTTGCCACAGGTAGATTTATATTGTAAGATATGTTTTTAAAAATCTCTTCAGAGAGAAGGAAAGTGATACAGATGAAAAATTTAGATCTACATAAAGCATCATGGAGGAATAAGGGAAGATAAAATACAAAAAAAAAATTTTTTACTTTTTCTTAATCTTAATTGATATAACATAGCAGTTTGTTCAAAATAGAGTACCAACAATGGATTACATTATATATATCTATATATCTATATATCTATATATCTATATATATCTCATATGAACTTATAAACTAAGAGAAAAATGGAATCCTGTAAAATACTCAATTAAAAACTGCAAAAGACAGGGGTGCCTGGGTGGCTCAGTGGGTTAAAGCCTCTGCTTTCAGCTCAGGTCATGATCCCAGAGTCCTGGGATCAAGCCCCGCATCGGGCTCTCTGCTCAGTGGGGAGCCTGCTTCCTCCTCTCTTTCTGCCTGCTTCTCTGCCTACTTGTGATCTCTGTCTGTCAAATAAATAAATAAAATCTTAAAAAAAAAACTGCAAAAGACAGAAAAATAGTAGAAGACAAAAATGGAACAGGGAATAAGAACAGCAAATAGAAAACAGTAATGAATATGGTAGATATTAATCAAAATGTATAAATAATCACTTGAAATGTCAGTGGTCTAAAGGCACCAATTAAAAGAAAGAAATTGTTAGAGTGGATCAAAATAAATCTAATTGAAGACTTTTCCCATCCAAATGGTTTTTTTTCTTTCATAGTTTATTTACCTATTATATTTATGAATAAGTCCTTTCCTTTCCCAATATTAATTTTTAAATTTAATTTATGTATTTATGTATGTATGTATTTATTTTTTAAAGATTTTATTTATTTGAGAGAGAGAGAGCATGAGTGGGGAGAGGGGATGGGGAAAAGCAGACTCGCTGCTGAACAGGGAGCCCAATGAGGGGCTCCATCCTGGTACTCCAGGATCATGACCTGACTAAAAGGCAGACACTTAACTGACTGAGCCACCCAGGTGCCCTGCAATATTATTTAATTCATTCATGAATTCAGAGTTTTACTAACATTTTATTTTTTTTGTCCATCAAAATTTTGAACCATCTGAAACTTGTGAGAAAATAGAAGAACATATCACATTCAACTTCTCACAAATAGGTAGCCATAGTGACTACATTTAATAAATATTTTGTCTTCTCCTTTCTTGTTTTAAAATGCCACATACAAAATTTCAGACATATTGACATATTTGGGGACTTCCATAATGTTTCTTTTTTCTGTCAATTTTTACATTAGAAGACTGGCGACAGCACATTTTAATATTTGGCAGGGCCACTTCTCACTCACCTATTCTTTTTCAGAACAATATCACATAATTATTTTTCTATGTGAACCTTAGACTCATTTTACTATTTAATAAAATGGTTATTTTGGATTTTGTTTTGAAGTTAAATTGAATTTATCAGTTCTTCCTTAGGGAAATAATATTTTGATGTATCTTAATTTTTCATAGCCTTTTTCCTTGGATTTTAGTGGAATTTCACACAATTTTTTTTTTTTGAGTTCAGCTAAGAAATAACAAATTAAATATTTTATTTATTTATTTGTCAGAGAGAGAGAGGGAGAGAGAGCGAGCACAGGCAGACAGAATGGCAGGAAGAGGCAGAGGGAGAAGCAGGCTCCCTGATGAGCAAGGAGCCTGATGTGGGACTCGATCCCAGGATGCTGGGATCATGACCTGAGCTGAAGGCAGCTGCTTAACCAACTGAGCCACCCAGGCGTCCCCAGATCTTTTTTCTTAAGTTTTTCTAGGTATGTGTTTTTTTTCCACTGTACTAAAAGTATCATCTTTTCTTCTATTTTATTTTCTAAATAGTACACACTAAAGCTATTAATTTTTATACTTGTTAACCAGTTACTTTACTAAACTTTTTCCATATATATATACACATCTATCTATCTATCTATCTATCCTGGGTGTTTCAAAGTACACATCATTTTATTTCAAATAATAATAATTTATTTTTCTTAAAGATTTATTTATTTATTTATTTATTTATTTTAGAGAGAGAAAAAGACAGAGAGCAAGAGCCAGGGGAGAGGCAGAGAGAGGAACCTGAAACAGACTCGTCACTGAGTGTGGAACCCTATGCAGATCTCCATTCTAGGATCCTCAAA